AACACCCCCGTGCCTGACCACTCTCATTCTCCTCTGTCTCTGAGGGTGCGGATGGGAGTGTGTGTCGTCCCTGGACCACGCCACTCCCATCCCCCTCTATCGCCAAAAATTTGCATTTTCGAGTGCGTTCGGCCCCATTATTGGTTTGCAGTGATGGACCTGAAGGACGCGTACTTTCATGTCTCCATCTTACCTCGACACAGACCGTTTCTTCGGTTTGCTTTCGAGGGACCGGCATGTCAGTACACGGTTCTCCTATTCGGGTTGGCTCTGTCCCCTCACGTCTTTACGAAGACCGTCGAGGCAGCCCTTGTTCCCCTCCGTGAACAGGGGTATCACGTCCTGAATTATCTCGACGATTGGCTGATCCTAGCACACTCTCAAGATCAGGTCTGCGAACACAGAGACCTTGTGCTCCGGCACCTAACCCGTCTGGGCCTTCGGGTCAACTGGGAGAAGAGCAAACTTTGCCGTGCAGAGGATCTCTTTTCTCGGTATGGAGATAGACTCAGTCGCCATGTCTGCACAGCTCACGAGCGAGCGCGCACACTCACTCCTGACTTGTCTTCGACAGTTCTTTTTCAAACATTTTCAGAGGCTCCTGGGGCATATGGCATCCACGGCCACAGCAACACCACTCGGAATGCTTCATATGTGACCGCTTCAGCTGTGGCTTCGCGATCGAGTCCCGAGGTGGGCATGGCATCACGGTATGCTCAGAGTTCCAGTAACTCCAACCTGCCGTCAGACCTTCTTCCCGTGGACGAACCTCAGCTTTTTACGGGCGGAGTCCCTCTGCAGCGAGTTTCCAGGCATGTTGTTGTCTCCACAGATGCCTCTGCCACGGGTGGGGGAGCCATGTGCAATGGACATGCAGCTGCGGGTTCCTGGACAGGACCCCAGCGCCTTATGCATATCAATTTTCTCAAGTAGCTGAAGAGTCGCAACTCGTATACCGCCTCCTATTATGGAGTCCATTCGTGCTATTTACATTCCAGGAGAGCGGAACCTGGCAGCCGACAAGCTGTCACGGTTCCGTCCAGTCTCTGGCGAATGGCGACTCCATCCACAGTCGGTCCAGCTGATATGGGACCAGTTCAGGGAGGCACAGATAGATCTGTTCGCTTCCTACGGCTCATCCCATTGAGCCCTGTATTACTCTCTGACCGAGGGCACAGTCGGCACAGACGCCTTGGCGCACAGCTGGCCGCAGGGTCTACGCAAGTATGCATTTCCCCCAGTGAGCCTTCTCGCACGGACTTCCTGAGGTGGCGGCTACCATCACTTCCGCTAGAGCGTCGTCCACTAGACATGTCTAAGCGTTGAAGTGGAACCTCTTCGTCAACTGGTTCTCTTCTCGCCGAGAAGACCCCCGGAGATGCTCGATCAGCGTCGTGCTTTCCTTCCTGCAAGAAGGGTTGGAGCGAAGGCTGTCTCTCTCCACCCTGAAGGTCTATGTGGCTGTAATTGCCGCATTTCATGAAGCAGTTGAAGGTAAGTCTTTGGGGAAGCACGACCTGATCATCAGGTTCCTGAGGGGAGCGAGGAGACTGAATCCTCCTCGCCCTCCTCTCGTACCCTCTTGGGACCTCTCAGTGGACATCTCAGACCTCAGACCAGCTCTTTGTCTGTTATGGTGGGAGCCAGAAGGGAAGGGCTCTCTCAAAGCAGAGGCTGTCTCACTGGATAGTGGACACCATTGCTTTGGCTTACCAGCAGCAAGGTCAAGCGTGCCCCCTTGGTGTGACGGCCCACTCCACCCGGAGTGTGGCTTCGTCTTGGGCTCTAACGCATGGCGCCTCGCTAGCAGACATCTGCAGAGCAGATTCTATAATCTCCGAGTGGAGCCTGTGTCCTCTCTTGTACTCGCTCAGCCGGCCAGTACTGGAACCGCTCAGGTGTCTTCGCTTGCTCGCCATTCCACTTCACGGACTGGATAAGTGCGATTTTTTTTTTCCTCAGCTGAGCCTTCTGTTGAAGCCCTGAGTCCTCCAGCACTGTTGATGCTGGTGCCAGTGTCTGTTGCCTGGGCGTCGGCTAGGTGTCTCCGTGTGCATGGTTCCTGCTAGTAACCTCCACATGTGTATTCTCCACTGTAAGCCTCTCTGAGCATGTGTCTTCCCTCGGCAAGCCACCTTGCCACCCCTGGAGTTAAGATTCTAGCCACCCTACGGGTTGGTGACTCCAGTGTTCCTCCATATGAAGTCCCCTTGGGCCATATGTGTATTCTTAAGTCCTCCCTACGGGTAGGCGTACTGTGGCATATTTCCTCTGGGATATGCTCCCCAGTGTACCTTGGTATTCCTGTGCTAAGTAGGACTCCTCGTCCGTGCTGCTAAGTTCACGACAGGGGATCAGAATTTCGCAGGGCACTGGAAGACAGCTGTGAAGGTGCCGTGATTACACGGGGGACCCTCATTCTCTGTCATCTGACGTAACTTGGAGTGACTACAAAAGGGAACGTCTCCGTTCCCTACTCAGGGAACGAGGGTTACATACGTAACCAAGACGTTCCCTTTCGTAGTCACTCCAAGTTATGTCTCCCTGCCACTTCCGCTGTACCGCTGGGAAGACACCTGATTTCAGTCTCGGCTCCTCAGCGAAGACATACTGCGGTTGCATCCGCATCCTCCTTTTATACTCACGAGGTGGCGGAGATACGCTATGTAAATTCCGCAGACCCATGGCATTTTCCTGCCATTGGCTCGTTTTTTAATACTCGAAGAGGATTGGCTTTCTATGCGAAACCCCCATTCTCCGCCATCCGACGTAACGTCTCCGTTCCCTACTCAGGGAACGAGGGTTACGTAACAGAGACGTTCTTTCAAGCAAAGATTTAGAAGTTGCAATTCATGCTTTTGTAACATCACGATTAGACTATTGCAACTCTCTTTATTGTGGTCTTCCTCAATCTACATTATCGCGACTACAAATTGTTCAAAATGCGGCTGCAAGACTTTTGACTGGGTCTAAAAAGAGGGATCATATTACTCCTGTTTTGGCATCCCTTCACTCATTAAGTTTAGAGTTGATGTTAAGATCCTTATGTTTGTATATAAGGCGTTGTCTGGCTGTGCACCAAGGTACATTTGTGATCTTATCGTACCATACTGTCCTGCAGTGATTCCCAGTCCGTGAACACATTAGTACCGGGCCTTGAAATATTCCCAAATTTTTTTTTTCATAATAATTAATTGTCTTTATAAAATGCTTTTTAACGTGTCATGTTATTTAATCCAAAACACAAACAAGAAATAAATACAAATAAATAAAAATATTAAAATGTGTTTCTTTGAGCACCTTCCGATTGCTTGGCAACGCGTCATGTCTAAACAGACTGCAAAAAAGCGCGGTGCGTGCAGCTGAAGTGACAGAAGTATGTGGAGAGATGAGCGGGCTTAGCAGACTTTAATGGCTAATTTCATTGCGGACAGTTCCGGTAAAAGGAAAGGACCAACTTGAAATAAAGCGAGAGAAAGAAAAAGAAAAAGTCAAGCTTCATACATTAGGTATGGATTCACGACAACAGGCTTCTAGATCATGAATAGTGTATATTTTTACCATTCACGACTCTCGCGGTGCTCTCCGGCATTTTGAAAAGATCAAAGGTTATCTCATCTCGGCAACTCGTCCATAAAAATATTCTACGAGTTTCCCAGTGGAAAATACCACATGAGGGGGTGTTCATGTGCGTTTTCCACGTCGGCTTTTGGTATTTACCATAATTACCATAGCACATGAACGCAGCATTAACCACCAAACATCCAACTCTCAAAGACAAAACGGAGGAGTTTTTCGAAAGAAAGAAAGGTGAGTTGGACGCTCAGCGGTAAGTTTTTAAATCACAATGTGTTTCTATTGTATTCTAAAACTGTTACTATATAGGCCTAGTAGGCTGTGTTATGTATCCTGGTTGACTTTATGATTAGTTAAATCTGTTTTGCACATGCATCGCCACAGAGTTAACTATTTCTGACAGTACCGGACAGCCTCTGTCTCTTTCACTTCACGTCTGTGGGCATCAGTGTCCAATTTACCTTCAATGAAATCTAACCTTAGTGTAATTGCCAGAATTACTAAAAAATATTTAGCTACCTAAAAGTTAAAGATTTTTAATAAAACGCAAGAGATGTGTGAAATTTCAGGATTTATGAGTGACGTTAGTCTAGTACAATTTTCAAAAAAATATTTTGCTACCTAAGATTTTTTTTATCTATTTCCCTCATATTAAATATTAAAACGCATGTCGACTAAATCAAAGTACAGTCTGATTTACAGTCTGTTCCTTTATCTGTTGCTGGTTTGAGTGAACATTCGTTTAGCGAAGTTCAAGAGATGCTCACATATGATAATAGATTAGCATAATGAAAATGTTCGCCTTGAATTCGTGTTGGACTAAATACTTGTTATGCCTGCAATTCTTTGGTTTGCTATGCTATGAAAACACTGCTTGTATGATACATTTATTGTTTGAAATCCTTAATTTTACTCCGTACTTCATTAAGCTGCATAAAGAAACCCAGATTTCAAGTCATCAAATTATTTGTTTTCTTTAAAGGATTAACTGGACATTACATGAAGACAAATGTAATCTCTTTTGAATCTACAATCAGGAAATTAGCATGCACAATTAAATATTCAATATTTAATTAAATATTTCAGATGATACAACAATTTTAATGAGGCCTCTGTGTTTTTAATGCTTTTGATGATGTAAAAAGTTTAACAGCTGACAGTAACACTATGCTGGCTAGCAAGATGTTAAGTTACAGAAATCAGGTTCTCACACTAAAAAGTCTAAATAGCAACTATGGTGAGGAAATGTTTCTATTTTTATCCACTAAATCTATTCTTACTTTTCAATATCATTTCTCATAAAGGGGAAAAAGTGTTTTAACAACTATTACTTTTAGAGGTGAGTAATAATGAAGCTACAGGATTAAAGTGTAGAAGCAGGGTATCAAAGAAGATTGGGAGGAGGTCAGTTCGAGTCATCTTACCTCACTGCAGGGATCCTCTTTGGGTTTATATTCCCACGTGTATCTGCTCATGGTTTTCTAAGGAGTGGGTGGCGAGAGAGGATTACTCTACTGACACACTTCCAGTAATTTGTTATCATGCCCGCTTAATTAAATTGGCACCTGCCTCTGCAGATACTCCATTATATTCACTGTATCGGGTTTAAAAAATGTTTGGACAAAAACAATAATTTAGGTTTAACCATTTGACAATCATTGCATTGATTGCCCGACCACACAGCACAACTACTAATATGATCATCAGTATGTTTCCACATTGATTCATGCAGCCTGTAGTTCTTCACATGGGGGCCACAAGGCGAATCAATGACAAAGAGATAGCGAGAAAGAATAATCTTAATGATAAAGAGAAGAGTGGAAAAGAAAGATCTCCCACACAAATAAAGAGTAAAACAATAAGAGAGAAGGCAGAGACAGAGCGAGCATTTTCTCATGCACAGTGGAAAACAGAGGGAAAGACAGGAGAGGAAGTTACCTGACACATAACGTTATCATAGTAAGCCAAAGCACGGACATGGGGGAGATTAGTCGGGGTGTCACACAGTTTCCTTACATTTGCTTGAGAGCCCTCTGCGACGGTGGACAGCGAGAAGTTATCGATGTGCTGCTCCGAATTTGGGCGGCATTTACTGAAAGACAAAGAGAGAGAACAGGAGATGGTAAAATGGATGGATCAATTAAATGGGTGCTTAATTCTGGGATATATTACTATTAAAGATCCGATTAAATACTTTTGACAAGCACCGTATTACTTTCCTATGGAAGCTTGTTTCTGCCACAGAATAAAACAATTAAAAAAGATTGAGACTTTTTTATCTACGTACTACGGAAGCCCTGAACCGCAACGTAAAAAAAAAGTAAAAAAAAAAAAAGAAATCTGTCATTTTGGGATTAAATTCGAAATGTTGCAAGATTTAAGTCGAAATGTTTCGAGATTAAAGTCATAGTAAATACATTCTGGATACATTTTAAGTGCATCATTCTGTATCCAATCATTTGGTCGGATCCTGTGATTTCTTCAGAGTTAATAACCACTAAACTAGTGGTTGAGGAGAGATTCTCTGATATGATTGTAAAGCGCTTTGAGTGTAGGCCTAGTAGTAGGACCGGCTGCAGGATGAATTGACTGAGGGGGCATGTGAAATTGTTGAGGGGGCTTAACTTTATACCATCAATGAACAATCAATACACACCCCTCTTTGGAACAACAGATTTTAAAATGCAGCGCACCATAAAACACTCCATATGCAACTGCACAGGTAACCGCATAATAAAAAGATAAGCCATAATTTATTATTTATATATGAACTCTTTCACGCTTAAAGGGATAGTTCATTTTGAAATTAATTTTTGATATGTTTTAGCTTACCTCAAGGGCATCCAAGATGTAGGTGTCTTTGTTTCCACAGTATTTTCAATTTTGACATTTTTCAGTCAAACCGTTGTTGTCTATCAGTCATAGACTGGAGGCTAAGGGGGTCCACCAAAAAGCATGCACAGAGAAGTCAAAATTAAACATGATTTATTGACTCATAAATGTAAGTACACATTGATGGCCTACGAAACGAGCGGTTTTTGTGAGAAAACGAACGTCTTGGTTACGTATGTAACCCTCGTTCCCTGAGTAGGGGACGGAGACGTTCTGTCGGATGACGACGAATGGGGATTTTCGCTTAGAAAGCCTATCAGCTTCAATCAATATAAAACGATCCAATGGCAAAGAAATGCCATGGGGGGGGGGCTTAGAGAATACACATATGACCCGAAGGATGCATATGGGGAATCAATGGGGTGTCCAGCCGCAGGTGGAATATTTCAACCCTAGGAGTGGCAAGGTGGCTTGCCGAGGGAAAGACACATGCTCAGAGAGGCTTACAGTGGAAATACACATGTGGGGGTCGCTCAGGGAAGGGACCATGCACACGGAAGGCACCTAGCCGACGCGCAGGCAATAGACACTGGCGCCAACGACAGGAGTGCTGGAGGAACTCGGGGCTTATGAGGCTCACCTGAGGAAATAGCACACGTATCCAGTCCGTGGAGTGGAATGGCGAGCAAGCGAAGACACCTGAGCGGGTCCGGTACTAGCTGGTTGAACCGAGTACATGAGAGGACACTGGCTCCACTCGGAGATTATAGAATCTGGCAAATGTGTTAGGTGTCGCCCAGCCTGCAGCTCTCTGTTAGCGAGGCGCCATGTGCTAGAGCCCAAGAGGACGCCACGCTCCAGGTGGAGTGGGCAGTCACACCAAGGGGGCACGGTCGACCTTGCTGCTGGTATGCCAAAGCAATGGTGTCCACTATCCAGTGAGACAACCTTTGCTTGGAGAGAGCCTTTCCCTTCTGCTTCCCACCATAACAGACAAAGAGCTGGTCTGAGGTCCTGAAACACTGCGTTCTGTCTACGTAAGCACGAAGGGTGCGTACTGGACAGAGCAGTGCCAAGGCTGGGTCTGCCTTTTCCGGGGGCAGTGCTTGCAGGTTCCTTTGGCACATATCCAGGTCGGGGTCTCAGAATCACGTGAGAGTAACCCGGCCCGAATTCCAGGCACGCCTCGTCAACGGAGAATGCGTGCAGGTCCCCTACCCTCTTGATGGAGGCCAATGCAGTCAGAAGCGCTGTCTTCATGGACAGGAACTTAAGCATAGCTGACTGCAAAGGCTCAAATGGAGCACTCTTCAGGGCAGCTAGAACCACTGAGAGGTCCCAAGAGGGCACGAGAGGAGGGCGAGGAGGATTCAGTCTCCTCGCTCCTCTCAGGAAACTGACGATCAGATCGTGCTTCCCCAAAGACTTACCCTCGGTAAGGTCATGGTGTGCGGCAATAGCGGCGACATAGACCTTAAAGGGTTAGTTCACCCAAAAATGAAAATTAAGTCATTAATTACTCACCCCCATGCTGTACCAACCCCGTAAGACCTTCGTTCGTCTTCGGAACACAAATGAAGATATTTTTGATTAAATTTGAGAGCTGTATAACTACCACATTGGCTCCTAAGGGACTGCCTCTTGACGGCCCAGAAAGTCAATGAAGAAAATGTTTAAATATCCCAAGTGACTACCGTGGCTCAACTATATGTTTATCAAGCGACGCGAATACTTTTTGTGCGAAAAAACAAACAAAAATAACGAGTTTATTCGACTATTTCTTTTCTTCCTTGTAGGCCAGAACGAGACTTCCTTATAGATTTCCACGACGCATGCGCGATAATTGCGATCTGAAGTAGTGAAGCTGGTGTGAGCAGTGAGTATCTTGAACGGCAGCCTGTGAAGGGAGCGGTTCAGCACACGCAAGTCCAGGATTGGGCGTAACCCACCGGTTTTCTTGGGGACAATGAAGTACGGGCTGTATAAGCTGGACTGCATTTCGACTGGAGGGGCAGTCTCGATCGCACCCTTCGCCAGCAGGGAAGCAATCTCCGCTCTCATGATAGGGGCATTGCCACCGACCAATGTGGAGCGGACTCCCCTGAAGCGGGGAGGAGACAGCGCGAACTGAATCGCGTAGCCAAGCCTGATCGTCTGAGCGACCCAGCGGGACAGTCTGGGAAGCTCTGGCCAGGCTCCCAAAAACTGTACCAGCGGGGTCATATGGACCACAGGCTTCCCACCGGAGGTGCAGCGAACCGGAATGACTGGCCCGGACACGGACGGTTTAGCGGCCCGATGTGGGGACACAGTCATTGACCGCGTCCTGATAGAGGAGACGGGCGAAAAGTCTGAGGCGCCTGCCCGGCCGACTGGGTGGAGGCAGCAGCGGGTCGACGGGGCAGGATATGCTTGATGGCCTCAGTCTGTTTCTGAGCAGTCGAGAACTGTTGGGTGAAGTCCTCGACTGCACCGCCGAAGAGGCCGGCCTGGGACATGGGGAGTCAAGCAGCCGGGACCGCTCGGCCTCCTTCATGTCAGCCAGGTTCAGCCACAGATGTCTCTCCTGGACCACGGCTGTGGACATCACCAGACCCAGAGAGCGCACGGTCACCTTCGTCACCCGGAGGGCAAGGTCGGTGGCAGCACGCAGCTCATCGAAGAGCCCCGGGTCTGTCCTGCCCTCGTGCATGTTCCCGAGTATCTGGGCCTGGTAGACCTGCAGAATAGCCATGGCATGCAGTGAAGCGGCTGCTTGGCCCGCAGCTCTATAGGTCTTCGCCACAAGTGTAGATGAAAACCTACAGGCTTTGGACGGGTGCTTAGACTCACCAGCTGAGGAAGCACTCTGCGGACACAGTTGCATCGCAACAGAGTGCTCCAACGGTGGGAGCCCAGTGTACCCATGGGCAGAGGCTCCATCGACGGGAGGAAAGGCGGATGAGACCAGCGAGCGGTCACAGGAAGACATGGGAGTCTTCCAGGACTTCGTGATCTCATCATGCACCTCCGGAAAGAAAGGTATTGGGGTTGGCCACGGGCGTGAACTGACGGCCGAGCCCAAAAACCAATCATCCAGCCGCGAGTGCTCGGGACAGGGCGGCAGAGACCACTCTAACCCGATGCTCGCGGCTGCCCGGGAAAGCATGGCAGTCATCTCGGGGTCGGACTCGACGAACGACTGCACACCCGAAGGAGGCAGCGCCGCCGAATCCTCACCCGACAAATCCTGCTTGCCTTGTGATGCCGTGACAGACATCGCATCATCCGTGCCACGTGCAAGCTCTTTTGTGAGAAAAAAACTCAGTGCTGAAGCGCCCGGGGAGAAACACTCTCTGGCAATCACAGCACAGACAGCAGGAAGCACGAACTCGCAGGGAAATCGCCGTCACACCAACACAAGTCTCTCGAAGAAGCTGACAGTCTCTGAAGAGAAGTGCTTGGGGAACAAAGAGTGAACTTGGCTCCTCAGCGAAAAACATGTCTGATTTGCGTTCAGCGTCCTCCTTAAATATCCACAGCTGATAAGGCACAGGTGAGCGGGGTTACGCAATGCAAATTCTGCAGACCCATGGCATTTCTTTGCCATTGGATCGTTTTATATTGATTGAAGCTGATAGGCTTTTTAAGTGAAAATCCCCATTCGTCGTCATCCGACGGAACTCGGAGTGACAACGTAAGGGAACAGTATTTATATCGTTTTTACCTCGTGTAATCACAGTGACGTCCAAGTGATCTGAATTAGTTGTGCAATGTCCAACTGAACCGAACTGAATCAGTTCAATGTTACGCCAGAAGTGATCGCTTGAGTGTGACATCACTCAATATTTACACATATATTTTATTTACACAATATTTACAGATATCGGAAGTTTTACCTTTTACTAAACATATTTAGATATACCGAAATCGTCTTCCATTGCGGTTTCCCATATACTGTATCTAATGTTTAGTGAAAGGTGAAACTTCCGAAATCTCTGTATAAACAAAGAGTGACGTAGGCGCACAAGCGATCACTTCCGGCGCATGCGCAGACTGAAGCACCCGTGCCATCAGATCATTTGGTCATGGCTATGATTACAAGAGGTAAAAACGATATAAATACTGTTCGTTTTCTCACACAAACCGCTCGTTTCGTGCCTTAGGCCATCAATGTGTACTTACATTCAATCAGTCATTAAATCATGTTTAATTTTGACTTCTCTGTGCATGCTTTTTGGTGGACCCCCTTAGCCTCCAGTCTATGACTGATAGACAACAATGGTTTGACTGAAAAATGTCAAAATTGAAAATACTGTGGAAACAAAGACACCTACATCGTGGATGCCCTTGATGTAAGCTAAAACATATCAAAAATTAATTTCAAAGTGAACTATCCCTTTAAGTTTAAAATATTCTAACTGACTTCCCAGAGTGAATTTTCATTTTAGAACGTTCCCTCTTAATGTTTCCATGGCAGTGCGTCATAATTGTCACGTGACACACCGCAGCCACAATAATGAAAGACAGATGTGTAGCTTTTATTCGGTTTTTTATTTTTCATTCAAAATATTCACAAACTTGCTTACCATGTCATCAACTTCTGATATTCCGATTGTCAAAAATATGTAAGTGAGTGTGTTTGGTTGTTTAAAACCTTTATAAATAATCTTGATCTATAACGGTAGTGATATTATGTCACTGAACATTACATACCATATGGGACTGTACCACTCAAAAGATGAAACATTTTATTTGTAACAATGAATACAAAAATAAAACTGAAGGGGCATAAATCAGATTTTTTGCCCCCTCGTGGCGCCGGGCCTGCCTAGTAGACATATGAAAGCGCTATATAAATGCCCCATTCATCTACCCATCCATCCATCCATCCATCCATCCATCCATCCATCCATTCATTCATTAAGCTGGATTTCTCCATCCAGTCTGAAAAGTGTTTTCCGGGTTGGTTTTCCAACAGGCTAAAGCCTATTCCGGTCCAGTATATTTTTTATAACGTCCTTTAATGGTAGCCTAATGCTGGTAAATTGGCACCTGTTGAATTTCCTTTTGTTGAAACAAAACACACACATACACACACACAGTGTGAAACACTCGCTATGCACCATTATGAATGCGTGTGTGCGGTAATGTGAGACAATGGCAAGCACACACGCAGCTTCAACGGAAGACTGTATTCCCGTACTCTCGAAATGTTTCGACTTTAATCTCGAAATGCTAGATTTTTTATTTTTTTTGCGTTGCGTTGCGGTTCAGGGCTTCCGTACCCTACTGCAAGTTCATCTCATTTGTTTTCACAGAATTGCGAGACATAAACTCGAAATTGTGAGTTATAATGTGAGAATTGTGAGACTTATAAAGTCTAATTCTATTTATACCATGGTCATGGGGAATACTCGATTCTGATTGGCTGCAGGGTGTCCGTTAAAAAGTGATAGAGGACACCTAAAGTAGTTCTGGTGAAACTGCCTGTTTACCATTCAAAATTAATAAATAAATGCGCTGCCTACAACAGCTGTAAGTAACCATGTAGGTCTCTCCGATGCTGGACTGGAGAGCTGTCAAATAATGTCAGTGACAGCCAGGTCATCAATGCATGTAAGAGCAGTCTGCGGGCTTACTGGGCTCCGTCTGTCCGCGAGAGACGAAGCTGGAGCAACGTACTGTCTGCATCAAGTGCCCATCATGGGCAGCAGTACCCAGCTTTTGTGGATCCTCCTTCAAAGGCCCCTATGTCTGACTGGCCGACTTTTTCAAATTGCACTATAAATGGAAACATCGAAATTAATTGTAAATAAAAAAAGCTAGCATGTAGGCAAATGACCCTCTCTTTGATCTGATTAATTTATTGCCCTCTATAAGTGCAAATCGCTGGAGCTCAGAACTAATTGTTTTTTTGTTTGATTAATTGTTTTATGTGTAATAAAAAATAACTATGCCTACCTTTGTGTTTCATGAAAAAAAAAAATGCATTTTTGAACTTGAAGGGTTCTACAAGCTGAGCGGACTATAAATACCTCCGGTTGCTAAATAAAACGTCAGGCAAGTTATTATTTGTAAAAACTAGATTTAGCCTAATTAAAATATAAACTAACGTTTTAAAAATGTTTTATTTGGCAAGTGACCATGGTATAAGCGGGTTAATGCCCTCCGAGGTGTCCATTGTCAGGTTTTAATGGACTTCGGCGGAGGCAACAGTCCTCCGCTGGGACCGCTGCGCGTCGGCCAGTTCACACCTCGCCGTCTTCCATTAAAACCTGACAATGGACACCTCGTCGGGCATTAACCCTTACATAACTTTTTTTCACAGAATTGTGAGTTTAAATCTCACAATTCTGACTTTATTTATTGCATTTGCGACTTTATATCATGCAATTCTGAGTTTATATCTCACAATTCTGAGAAAAAGTCAGAATTGCTTAATATAAGAATTGCGACTATTGTGAAATTGCAAGATTTTATCACAATTGCAACTTTATATCACGCAATTCTGATGTAAACTTGCAATTGCGAGAAAAGTCAGAACTGTGAGATAAAAAGTAGCAATTACCTTTTTATTTTTTATTCTGTGGCGGAAACAAGCTTCTATACTTTCCTGTGTTGATATTCACTACCGTTAAAAAGATTGGGGTTGGTAAGATTAATTTTTTTTAAAGTCTTTTATGCTGACCAAAACTGCATTTATTTGATCAAAAATACTTTTTTTCCCCACTGATCAGCGGCAAGTACTCCAGTCTTCAGTGTCAAATCAATGACCATTCAAAATCATTCTAATACGCTGATTTGGAGTTTATTATCACTGTTGAAACGTTAATATTTTTAAACAGTTATAATATTTTAATGCAAACGGTGAATAGAAAGTTTGAAGTAAATATCAACTGTATCATTTTAATTGTCACAATAGCATGTCTTTATGGTAACTTGTGATCAATGTAATGCATCCTTGATGACATTTTTTTTTTTTTTTTAAATTAAAAAATACCGAACCCACACTTTTGAACTATTGTTTTCTATTGAAACAGGACATTGTGGTGGGACAAATAAATAAGCTTATTATTTTTTTTATTTTTACCTTTAATAAAATAGACTTTAGTTTGCAGTGGAAAAAACTGTAACAAACTACTTTGGCAGCACTGAAGAAAGCTTAAAAACTATTTCATTTTTTTTTTTTTTTTTTACAAAATCCCCCTAAAAAACATGATATGATTTTCGCTAGTTCTAGTCAGAAGCAGGAGATATTCTCACTCTACAAAGGATTTTATAAGACAAAAGTTTGTACATGCCCATGTGTATGTACCAATGGGGTAAAGGTTTGGCTTGTTAGCATCTTTCTCAATTGATGGCCATATAAAGGTAGCTGTGACAAATTTTCTCAAGCAAACTCAGATGGCCTCAAAGCAAACAAACATGAGCTTTGATTTTAATTTCATAGGGTATTTAACTTTGCATTCTACTGCAGTGACTTGGACATTTTTGCTATAATGAATTAAAAAGATTAAAAGTTGTTTCACTGGATTAAAAGCTCATGTTGTTTCTGCAAGCACACAGATGTTACCTGCAGCAGATTAGAATTTATACAGAATTTACACTGTTGTCATTTTGTCTTCATCACTATGCTCCCTTCCCTTTCTCTCCTCTCCTTTTCTCTTCTCTTCCACTCCTCTGCTCTTTATCCACCCCTCTCTAGGACTGTTTAAATGCCTTTGGCAGCACACTATATAGGTCACCCTCTCACTCACACATTCACATACACACTAACTCAGATTGGCCTACTTTTAGGAAAGAACAGTGATGTCATTGTGTTCAAATCCAATGTTAACACTGTACATTTTATTGTACTACTCTATGTATGCACCAATATGTATTCAGCTCAATCTATTGATATTCAAATCGCCAAATCTGACACTAAGACTCTAGGAAGCGTCCTTAGGAGTGAAAGTTTACGTGTTAGTTTTACCTGTGGCTGCGAAGTCGTCGGTTTTCAGTCTTAAGCATGTGCAGCCTCTTGGAGAAAAAGACTATAATCATGAAGAGGAGGAGCAACATGATGGCGGCCCCGCCCACTGCTATACACATCACTTGGAAGTCTGAAATAACAGACTCACACCTGGAGCCCTTGTTCCATATATACTCCTGAATGTTACACCTACAAAACAAGAGAGATGTTAGGGGAAAAATGCAACATATACAACATCTTTCACATGAAATTGTCACAAAAGTGAATTGTTAAATATTGAGGTCTATGAGCAGAATTTGGGACAATGCAGTCTATGTGAAGTGTGAACACAGAAGTAAGGGCTAGTCCACATTTCGCGTCTTTCGCACGCTCAAGTTCGTTATTTCAAACGTAGGTGCGCGGTATGCGCGCTCATAATGGAAGCGTCACACTCGTTTTTTCCAAGCGTGTCCACGCTGCATCGAGATAAAACATCTCAACTTTTCAGAATGCTGCAAGCCTGCAAGTGCACCCTAAGCGCACAGTAGGTCACGTCACAAGAACCAACTGGAGCAGAACCGCCCTAGCGCTTTGGAAAAAGGTGAATGCGGCGCGACGTGTTTTTAGGCGCTATATGTGAATCCGGCCTAAATCTGAAACAACCAAACAAGTTATTAAATGCAATAGAAACTGAACTGAAATGTGATAGAATAGAAACTAGACTGAGAATTATTTACTGAAATAAGTATTTCATTTATTTTTCATTTAGATAATTTTATAGCTGAGGAGAACATGTTTATTCCTTAGGAAAAAATAAAAGTGGCTATACTGTTATGTGATGAGTTCATATTCAAAATCTTTGGTTTTCGATGAAAACTTTTGAAATCATGGCAAATCTGAGAATTGTTTGTTACATTAGGATCTCAAGATAAAGATGTTATTACCTATGGAAATATATTGGCAACACAGACAATGAATGCAGAGAAAAAAAGTCCAAGTGGGATTTTGTGTGTTTATATAAAGGACAAGTTGTCATATAATTCAAACAAATTGGCCACGACAAACATATCTGTGCAAAAGAAAAAAGGGAGATAAACACTATAGATGCAAGTATCCTTGTGCACTATAAGTGTACTGTGAGTGTGTTATGTGGCCTGTTCACCCATTTATCATTACAATGATTCTTCTGCAAGGTTACAGAGCTTCCAGCTGCACGACTAGACAGATGGCCCTGTCAAGGATGTGCGTTCTGGTCCCACAGAGAATAAAGCATTTGAGCTTTGCACAATTCACATATTCCAAAATAGATTTTCAAATTCTCTTATTTACCATATTACAAAAGTGTTGTCATAGGTCTAGTGACTGAGGTGTTCAATATCTTATTGAAGATGCTTGGTCTATTATTTGCATATTAGCTTATATGGTTTGTCCGTTGAGATGGAATCCAGCAGGTAACTCGCAGCCATGTTAATACTCAAAAATAGTGTGATTGCGAGTGTGATATTGATTTCATATGACAGTAATAATAAACATGAGGTCACTATTGAGTATTACATTATTAGACATGACATTGCATGTTTTTGCTTGAAAATGAAGCCAAATCAAATAAAGAAATGTCATCAGACTAACGGACATGCAACAACAAGCACAAACCACAAATATACACCACACTCAGTAGTACTCTCATATGGGTAAATTTTGTAATGAGTGAAAGGCCCATCAATACTGCAGAGGAAATCATGCTCAGTGTGTATGTAGGCCATGTTTACTCTTTAGTCTAAAGATATCAATTTGAAACTCAGTTTTATTTGTCTATTACTAACTACCCCTCTATTTAGTGGCATTGACCTGCCTATTAAACGTAAACATTTACTATTTCAGTAAATGCACACATATCAGCAAATAATTAAACCCGCACCACTCTCTTGATCCCCCCAAATAGTGTGTTAATCTAATAGGTCAATCTTTACATGCCCTCCAGATGGAAGCCTGGACTTTTCTAATACTGACCCCATTAGTGCTCCACCCTGTCACTCTTTCTCTCAGCAATCGACAAGAAAGCCCTGTGGCATGTGTCACACTCCGAAGTCTGAGTGAAAGTTGCACTGAATGGGGGTTTGCTTAAATATATGAATGAATAAAGTAAAAGAGATCATTTAAAATAAAGAGATTTTTTTTTTTTTTTACAAAATTACCATTTTATCATTTATGCCTATTTTAGTTTTGTTGTGAATAAATACACATATAAAATAAAAAATAACTAAAATATATCAGTAAAAAAAAAAAAATAAATAAAGTAAAATTGATTAGAATGAAAATTAAAAGTAAAAGATCAGCAAAAAAATATTTCATCAAATCATTTTATTTTCACTTTTATACGTTGTTTTAAATAACTTAACAAAATGGATAATTATTTATCTAAAGATTTCTATTTTATTATTATTATTGTTATTATTTTATTATTATTATTTTTATTATATATATATATATATATATATTGTTACTTGTTTACTGACCTTGATTTTTCATTTATTTTACTTATTATTGTTATTAAAATATATAAAACAAATAAAAAATGTTTGGTTGTTTTGAAGAAAAGATTACAAAGCCAAGCTATTCTTTTGGAATAATGTGCTCAGATCCATTACAATAAGACAAGGAAGAAAGGGATTTTCATGGGTATGGGCAGTATCCCACGCAGAGCAAGTGGTCTAAAATGGGCTAATACACAGCAGCTTAACACATCACATCATCTAGCCTTGAGGCTTCACTACACATAAATAAGATTCCCTAAACCCCACTTTTATGGCTCAGACCACCAGCTTGAGGCAGGGTCTTTAGCTCTTAAACTGTAATACACACATTCACAGATCTGGGCTCTGACCCAAATCCCTTTGAGCAAATGTTTAATAAGGGTCTGCATGGGCCTCTGAGTTTAGGGTTGTGGCAGTAGTGGAGGCTGGTTTAATATAGAGTGACATGCCATGAGAATTCTTGGAGAATTGTGGAACTGAAATTATAGCAGTTGAGTGTGAATGAGATAAATGCTAAACATTCTTAACATGCACCCAAGAATTCAACACAAATCATCTCAAGAATGAAGTGTATATATATCACTATTAAAGCAATCCCTATTGTGCGTCAAACTAAAAAAAAAAAGATAAAGGAGATTGAAAATCATGTTCAATTGGTTATTATACTATTGAAATTATTAGTGTTAATAGCATTAATGTAATTTTTGGTGTTTCATAAAAGTATTTGTATTTAATAAAATTGTAGATATTTGTATTTAATAAAAATGTATTACTGAAGGTCACTGATGAAAAACTAGATTGTTCTTTTCTACCCAACCACACAACACATTTCAAGTATGTTTAAAGAACCCCTATCATGGATTTTTGAAAATGGCTGTTCATATGGTGTGGAATATAGCTCTAAGGGAATGAAAACATCCTGCAAAGATTTATATCTGAAAGTGCACCGTATATAAAGTTATTGTCTTTCAAAAGTGAGTGTCGACTGACTCTGAGTCTATGAAATGAATTGTTTTTGAAACGAGTCATTATCTGTTACATCGTGACGTAGAGAGGTCATTGGCCGCGCCCAGTTACTGCAAGCGCAGATGGAAGTGTAAACTTGAAGTTTACACATTCAAAATGCTACTTCATCATAGCATCATGTCGAGAAGACGCTGTGTTCTACAATGCAAAGATAGTTCAGCCACTTTGTTTTCATTTACCAGGGACGAGCATGTGAAGAATCGGTGGTTAGAGTTCATATTTGCAACGATAACACAACAGTATAGCCCGATTGTGTTGTCATCATAATTATGAATCACTCAAAAACATAAATGAATTCAAATGTGGATTCACAAGCGGTTGTTCCTGAAGGAGGGCTGAGTAACTTATGGATCAGCTTCCTCCTATGAATCACAACCTGTAAGTATTATTAATAATTGTTGCTTTTTAATGGGTTTTGAACGGTTTTGTAGCGTCGGGCGCGATGAGGGAAGGCGCAATAAGTATGTGTGTGCGCGTGTGTGTGTGTAAGTTATGCTCAGCGCAGCTTCTAGGTCTCCAATGTCAATTTTTTTTTAAATATGTAAAATGTTTGTCGCCGTTATTGGAGTTGTCATAAAGAATAGAGCGTTTTGTAGTACTGCAGTGCTTTATCAATATGTTTATGCGTTATGCTAACAAACAATAACTGACTGGGTCTGTTATCTGACCAATCACCGCCGATTAGCGTCACGCAAAGTGTGGTTTGGAAAAATGAGTCGTTGTACGAATCATTTGGGAGTCGGTGAGCAAATCAGTTAAAAATAAATGCATATTATAAGACAAATAAAGTGTTTTTTATCCTTGCATGCATGTTAAACTGTTTTTGGGAACTCCTAAAACAAAAATAGGAACATTTCAAATGCTATGATAGGGGCTCTTTAAAGCAACAGCTAATGATCGCTGATATTTCTAGCAGATGGAGGGAAAATAATAAATTACATGAGCTGTTGCCATAGTTTTTCCTCAACCTACAGCAATAGAGACGCCTTCATGTTCATGCAGCAGCAACTTGGATAACTTAAAGTCAAGGAAATCAAGCTTTTAATATTGTTTACATGTCTATGTGGTGTTTTAATGCAAACCATGTGCAAATTCATAAGTCAACACTATGAGTATTTTTTCCTTAAAACTCCAGAGAACCAAAGACAGTCTCAAAAACACGTTTTAAAATTGCTGTTGTTTCTAAAGTCACAAACTACATTGTAACCAATCACGTCAACGTGTGATTGTCAATGAGAGGATCTCTGAACTGGTTTGAGCGAGTGGAGGTGGGGCTAATTTGCATATTCATAGAACTCCGTATACTAAATGAGGCAATGGTGTAGTTACATTCAAACTATTTTAAGGCATAACGAAAATGTTTTCAAGGAAAAAACATTTGAATATGTCATTTTGGTGATCAAATGTAAGTTAAAGGATAAAATGATTGGCTACAGGGGGACTTTAAACAATGATGTAGCCTGTCTGACCTTTCCCTTTACCATATTCAAAACTGATAAGTTATACATACACAATAACAAAAACGTCAGAGCGGTGGTGTTACATTAGGATCAAAACATTGTGTAATTGAGCTTTTAGATAATAGCCTAAAGCTTTCCTTTAAATCCTATGGCAACTGACGCACAGTGTAAAAATGCTTACATAACCTGGTTAGCCCAGACACACATGTTTGCATGAGCTTGGCCCAGTTTCAAGATCATTGAGGATAGGCCGTTTTACTACTGTTCCCCAGAGATGCCTTCAACTGAGACTCAATCCATCTTCAATCCTAACATTTGACTTGGGACATTTGAGAGACCAGCACTAAGCTTCTTTTGAAAATGTAAAACAAACATAATCCCGCACCCTGGACAGATGCATGAACACAACCAAAGGACTGAGTTACTTCTTCAAACTCATCAGTATTTAATCAGATGCTCAAGATTCTAGCATTGAATCATTGCACATATTTTTGGAGTGCATTATAATGACCTTTGATAAGATAACTGTAACTGTTAAAAGCCTGATCAAACCCAGGACAAAAACTATAAATATAAACTTTTAATAATCATTAAAATTCTATGAGAATAGGGAAGTCCTATAACAATAACAATAGGGAAAGATAATCACTTTCAAAACCCCCAGCCAATGTATGATAACATTGACAGAATCCAATCGACTTTAAAGAGCTTGAGCATTTAAAGTGGCAGATGACAACTGCAGCACAGCTTATGAAAAACATGTCACTGTTTAGTGTTATATTAATTGATCTTGCTGTGAAGGGGTCTTTCCACACATGCATATGTCTTACCGGCAAAAGGCGCCAACACCGTCAACCACATAACACTGCCCCCCATTGAAGCAGTAACTGGTGAAGATGTTGCACGGTGAGACACATGTGCTGTTTATACGCACAAATCCAAGAAGACAACCAGAGTTGTCAAGCATGTCCGATACTCCAGGTGAAGTTTCTCCAGATCCACCATCATCAGGGTTCAAAACTTTCGTGTTGGAGGGAACCACAGTGGCAAGAAAAGGAACGTTTTCATCATCCATGTCAGGTGGCGTTGGTTGGCTCTCCTCTTGGTAAACTTCGGTGGGTGAATAGTCAGGTGATAGATAATCATAAAAATCAGAAAGTGTCCAGGAGGTTGGATCTCCACCCTGGAGCTCCTGAGCCCAAGAAGGAGGATCATGGACAATGTGCTGTTGGTGAGAAAGGTTGTAAACATTCACTGTGATAATTTCTTCTAATTGGGAATGGGTAAACTCAGGAGGAGGAATCGTGACTTCATCAAACAACGTCCCATCTGCTTGTAGTCTCTCACTCTTCCAGTGAGGGGCATTGTACTCGATTCCCTCTTCGCTAAAGTCAAGCCGGGACAAGGCACCTGCCCGTGGTTTAGTCAGAGTGGGCAACCGGGTTGCTATGTCATCTATCAGCAGGTCAATGAGGTGTTCCCTTTCGACTGAATCAACACTGATGTCCTTCGCAGCACTAGTTGAGGTTTCTCCACCGCTGCTGGACTCCTCCCCAGCTCGTGGTTTCCGAGAGTGAATGTGGGCCTGGGCAATAGGTGTGTCCTCACCAGGAAGTGCAGGCTTAAGCCCAACCCCATTCAAGTCTGAGGAGTTAGTGCCAGTAGAATTGGAGAAAAATGAACTCCCTGGAAAAAAAAGAAAAGAAAAAAAGAAAAAAGTTAATGACCTAAAAACTTATTCCATAATTTATTTTTGCTGATTGTTCAATTCAATTTACCAATACTGGGAGTTAATTTCTCCATTTCTATTTTTTAAAAGAAATTAATACTTTTATTCAGCAAGGATGCAATGGATTGGTCAAATGTGACATTAAAGACATTTATTATGTTACAACATATTTCTATTTCAAATAAATGCTGTATGTTATTATATATATATATTTCGAACTTTCTATTAAAAGAATCCTGGATTAAAATGATCATAGTTTCCACAAAAATATTAAGCATTCAAGCATTAAACTCTTTCAACATTCAACATTCATAATAATAGTAATAATTAATACTTCTTGAGCATATTAGAATGATTTCTGAAGGATCGATTCGTGACACTGTAGACTGGAGTAATTGTGCTATGTGTGTGTGAGTGTATATATATATATATATATATATGCATGTATATACACTGTAAAAAATAAAACCGTAATTTTTACAGTAAAAAAAACGGCAGCTGTGGTTGCCAGAACTTTACTGTCAAAAATATGGTGGCATTGTTATTGGTTTTACAGACTTAACATTTACAGTAATAAACCATATTTCATTATGTGATATAATGTTAATTTACCAACCTATTGAAGAATTGATTTCTGTTTTGTACCATTGTAATATACTGACAACCAACAATTATCACAGCAGTGATGAGAGTCACATGATCAAACAAGCAGCTCTTCCATAAGAAGATTAATAATATAGAGGCTGCACAGTGTTATTCACACAAACATTAAACACCATCATGGTCACACTTATGAAATTTTAAAAATTTAATAATCATTAATTTAACAACATTACATGTAACTTAAAACCCTAATGTACATAACGGATTAGAAAAAATAAAAATAAATAATAAAATCTTACTGATTTCTCACAAGAGTAAATGTTATTATTATACAAGAGTATATACAAGAGTATATGGGTGATTCTTCAACTATGGTACTCTTTGAGCTAGACAGTTTCAGAAAATAAAATAATTTCTACAAACAGTTTTTTTTTAGTATCAGCTGGTTTCTCAATCTGTCAAGAAACCTTCCCTTAAGTTGGCTGCGATGATTTGTATTGAATAATATATACAGTATTTTTTTTTATCTGACAGCCCAAGAAAACGGCCATTTCCATCACATAGCAAAAACGTGTTTTGAAGGGAAAATAATCATGTATTTCTTAAAGTGTATACACATATCTTATACAATAACTGCTATCAACACCACTGAATATAGTTGGTTTGATTGGAAGTTTTTTACTGTATGTTTTACTTTAAAATATGGTTTTGTGGTGGAAATTACATGTCATGGCGGAAGAGACAGTGTGGTGGAAATGACATAGATAGGCAACTTCCAATTAAAAACTCTTTTTCTACTGCTCTATGTGGTGAACCAAAGCAAATCAATAAGCAAGAGTATTATTAAAGAAAACATATCAGTATTTTTAAATGAAAAACAAAAAATTAAAAAAAAAAAAAACATGAATATGTGTTAAAATCTTATCAAACTTATTTATTGTTCTCTTATTTACCAAAAATATTTTAGCAATAATAAATAATAAAATATTTCTTACTACATTAACTTAATGAATATGTTTTTTTTGTTTTTAATCAACGTTTTAGTATTATAGCCCAAAATAATTTGCTGTTTAGCAAGAACAATGTCATTTCCACCACAACCTGTCTTTACCACCACAATGAACACCGTGGTGGAAATGACTGTGGTGGAAATGACATTCCCCCCCTTTTCTTCTAAAATATCATGCTATGTCAGCCTGTTAATATTAGTTTTAGAGTTAGCATTAAATATACACAAATTACACATTATTAAATTAACTTTATCCAGTTATTTTTACGTCCATGTGCAATATGAGCCATTTGGAAATGATGGCCAATAAACAAATTCTCAGTTTTAGTCATATTTACCTTGATTTTTCTTCTGTTCATTACCCCCTAAAGAGGTCACCCTTTCACCCAGCCATGTGTTCACTGTGGAGTTTCTATTGCTATGGTTACTAAGTATTCAAACCTAAAACAATGATCCCAGGATTCTATTTTGTACAATGTGGTGGAAATGACAGTGAACCCAAGGGACAAGGTTTCTACTTATCAAAAATATAAGAAAATGTGAATAAATATTGCAATATATAATATGTATAACTGAAATAGACATTATTTTATAATTTGTACTTAAAATCTACATTATTTAAAATAATTAATTTAGAATTAAGCGAGGTTGAAGGTACAAAGTCTGGCTTAGGGACAGGGGGAAAACAGTAAAAATCATGCATAAAAGGCCTCATATTATATAATAAAAAGAATGATTGAGCCATGATACATTTTTTATAAGTTCCCCTTAGGGTGAAGTACTGTAAGTCTGACAAAAAACAAAAAAAGAAGAAATGTTTTTTAGATTTTATTATTTCATCCAGGGTCAAGAAAAGTACCATAGTTAAAGAATCAATCATATACCAGAGAAAAATAATATCATTTACTCTTGTGTGAAATCAGTAAGATTTTAGCTTGTGAAAAATACAAGTGGCATAAGAAAACCTTCACAAGCAATTACTTGTAATCAATACTGCAAACTCAGCAACTCCACAGTCATACAGAGAGAGAACAAAAGATAAAACTCATAGTAAATATCACACACACACACGGGCAAATCTGCTTAATTAAACACTGCTGTGCGCGAGGCCCCAGATTTCTTTTCCAAAGCGGCTTGTGGTAGCTGGATTAGGAGGTCTGATTTACTAATGTACCCTCCTGAGTTTGGGCCAGGATTGGGATTGAGATTAGGATTAAGGTCTATAGGTTGAGACTTGCATTGGTCAGTCTGGAGAGAGAGATGGGTAAGCTTTAATGCAGATAAACACACAATGGGGAATTCCCCTTAACTGGAAAAACTCACTGACCTAATTGATTGTCTTCTGGAGGCATTTACTCTTGATGCTGTAATCCAAACTAATGCAATGAATGCACCTCATATGTGTCAGGGTTTAGGATTGAGGAGATGAGGCGAGGTGAGGACACAAGCGCAGGAAACAAGAGGTTCTTTAATAAAATAAAACAAAACAGACAACAAAAACTATACCACGGGGGACCGGACACAGGAAGAACATACAAGGTAGAATTATGGCGACGAACAGCAAAGGACTGAAACCGCAAGGAGAATAAATAGGGAGAGCAAACAACAAGGGAGGACCGGTGGGGCAAATAATCAGGTAACAAGATGGGCGGGGCAAGACCAGTTGACAAGAGAGCACATGGCGAAATGAAACACATGACAAGCCATGTGATCACACAAAACGAATAAAGAAGTGTGAAGTCCGCACACTGAAAATGACTGTTCCAAAGGAATTTATTAAAAGGCAATGTTTCGACCCTCAAGTCTTCATCAGGCACAATATCAATGTAGAGTGAAGTCCACTTTAAATAGACACACCTTCATTGGGCACACAGAAAAAAAATCATATGACAAATACAAGTAACATGACAAAGAGACATGAACACGCAGCCAATGAGAACACTAATAAGCCACATGTTCACACAAAACATGACAACATGAAAACACACACAGCTAGTCTGAGCACAAGTTGGTGCTACACAGCACAATACAACAAAGCACGAGATGAAAGCACATAAAGCAATACAGACAAGACAAAACAGGAGTGGCAGGGCTCTGTCACAATATCAAGAAATAGACTAGACAGAAGTGACAGAACCCCAACATTCAAGTAAAACATGAATTCATGTAAATTAATTTTAATTCATGTAAAACAACAATCTTGACAACACTTTAGTTTAGGGTCCAATTGTCACTATAGTTGCTTATCAGCATGTGTACGACTAGATATTGGCTGTTGATTAGTACTTAAAGCAAGCACAATTTAGCACCTTATTCTGCATGACCACCAAATTCGACATCCCTTCTCCCTGCCCAATACCTAAACTTAACAACTACAGTACATTACTAACTATTAATAAACAATAATTAGGAGTTTGGAGCAATAGTCGTAGTTAATAGTGAGAATTGGATTTGGACCCTAATCTAAAGTGAGACTCTAATCATTTGTAGTATTATAAAATGTTGTTACTGTCACTTTTAATCAATTCAGTGCCTCCTTTCTGAATATAAGTATTCATTTATTAATATTTCTGACTGACCCCAAACTTTTGAAACTTAAATAAATTAGCCTATTAAAGAAATACAATAAAATAGTACATTTATGCAAAATATGATAACAAAGCATGCAAACATGAGCATTTAAATATCCTTGTGCTTGTATTTGCATTTGCCAAATAAATTATGATAATTTAAATTCAAACGGTCTCAAAAAGCAGAATTAAGGAATATTTAGTCAAATTTTACTGAATGACTTTTAACAATATACTTTTTACATTTTAGACTGACACTGTGAAATTCCATTTCCATGGTTTAATTCCTCTTCCTTGTAAATAAAATGCGAGTCACACATCAACAGACACTCACACACAAAGTTGCCAAGAAGCAATTTAAAGAGGCTGCCATTTTGGAACATCTTAAAAGCCATGTAAAACAGAGACTCCTCTGTCCTATCCACTTGAATCACTTCCTCTCTTTCTCCCATTCATTTATTCACACAGTCCCCCATGAGGGGGAAACGGAGATGACATATGCATGATGTATGCATGAATCATTTCTCATGTACCTCACGTGAGGTTAAAGTACTCGATTAAATTCTCATCTAGGTTCCCACCAGCACAGAGTTTAATATCAATGTAATATTTGTATCCTTTTAAATCTATTTCGAAATATTTTAAGGCTAAATGATATAGAGTCCCTCGATTGACGAATATAAAACGCAGTCACGACACAAAGACAGAGCAAGAAAGAGGCTACAAGAGGAAAACAGTTGTTTTGATTTTCAAAGGGGTCAGCTGACAGAAAAGC